TTATGTTAAGAGGGACATCTGTAGCTCTATATATATTATATATATGTGTATATATATATATGTGTGTATATATATATATATATATATATATATATATATATATATATATATATATATATATATATATATATATATATATATATATATATACACACACACACACACACCCTGCTTAAGACAGTAAGCATTATACTTTATAATATTACCTATAATAGTAGCCTTAAAAGTAACATGCAAAGGTTATTACACTGAAAGGATTAATCACACTGCAGCCTAAGCAAAGAGAAGACGGCGGTTCCTTTCCGCAAACTTGTTGATCACACGATCAACAGGAACATGTACATCGTTATGGACGGCGAGTAGTGCGAGGCCGTTGAGGCGATCCTGACCTATGGTGCTCCTCAAGTATGTCTTCAGGCATTTCAGGGCTGAGAATGATCGTTCTCATGATTGTTATTTTTATTAGGCTAAGTTTCAACATATTTACCCATATCTCTGAGATATGGGTAAATATGTTGAAACTTAGCCTAATAAAAATAACAATTATTATTATTATTATTATTATTATTATACTCTTTCACGGTAGGCTACCGTAGGCATAGCTCCAAGGCTCCAACCCACTCCACTCTGGCACTGTCCCACAAGGCCCCAAAACAGGCATAAACACAATAGCCTAATGTATTAATCTTGCCCTGGCCCCTTTACCTGGTGCAGTAAGGTCACTGAATGGTTCATGAACCCTTACCCTCTCGTCCTGGTTCGTGCCCGGCTCGCAGTGAGTCAGTATGTGTGTTGGAGCCTTGAAATACCAGGGGACGGTGACTCACCATCACGGGGTCACGCCGCATCAGCTGTCTGATGTTACCACGTGCTCTCAACATGCAACACTGCTTGACGCTCGCTGAGGCTGAGCCTCGCTCTCTCAGAGCCTGCCTGCCTCTCTGGGTGTTATGCGAAATTTCTTTCAAGTTAGGACATTTCCACGATTTTTTTTGCCACATCTCATTATTCTCAGCATCAATACAGCTCCAAAATGTTTATTATAAGTATCCAACCTTAAAAAGCATTTTTGTATTGTTATGGAGCTAGAGGTATTAGTGGTCTGTAAACTTGCAAAGTTGCAAAACAAATTTAAATGCATCCCAAAGCAGTGGCGTAACTACGGGGAGCCTGGGGGGTCCGCCCCCCTCTCCCTCACTAGAGCTGTGGGCCCCCCCCCCCCCACTTGAAAAGGAGTATCTGCATAGTTTTGTGTCTAGAAAAGTAAAAAAAAAATTATATATATATATATATATATATATATATATATATATATATATATATATATATAATATATATATATATATATATATATATAATATATATATATATATATATGGCTTTAAAATCTCAAATAATTCGGGAGGGCATGCCCCTGCCATGTAAAGGATTGGCCCCTCCTTCCCCTCGCCCCAAAATGAAAACCCAGCTACGACACTGGGCCAAAGCCCAAAGAGGGCCAAAGGGGGGGCCTGGGCCCCCGGGCCCCCCCTTATATCCGCGCCTGGCAGGGCTTGATATTGGAGATATAAATTGCTGGCCATGAAGTAGTTTGAAGTAGTCAGTCCCTCAGTCTGGACTCAATGTGTTCAGTCCATCAAGATTGATGGACTGAACACATTGATTCCAGGCTGAGGAACTGATTACCTCAAACTACTCCTCTCTCTACACTGTTCTTCATGGGAGTAGTGGTCAGGGTTGACTTGTGAAGGATGTGAGGTACACATTAAAGGTTTACATTCTCTTAGACTTGAATATAAATAGAACATTCTACAGGAATTCAGTGAAATACAGTGGACCCTCGACCAGCAATGGCATCGATTAACGATAAATCTGACTAGCGATACATTTTATCACAAAAATTTTGCCTCGATTAGCGCTAAAAAACTCGACCAACACTATTTCTTCCATCTGAGACGCGTCCACTTCTGGCCAGTGTTTACAAGCCAGCCAGCCACCGCGGTCGCTTCCAAGCATACAATCGGAACATTTCATATTATCACAGCCTTTTTAGTGATTGCACCTGCAAAATAAGTCACCATGGGCCCCAAGAAAGCTTCTAGTGCTACTATGGATATGAAGAAAGAGATCATTGCTAAGTATGGAAGTGGAGTGCATGTCTCCGAGCTGGCCAGGCTGTACACAAAACCCCAATCAACCATCGCTACTATTGTGGCCAAGAAAACGGCAATCAAGGAAGCTGTTCTTGCCAAAGGTGCAACTATGTTTTCGAAACTGAGATCGCAAGTGATAGAAGATGTTGAGAGACTGTTATTGGTATGGATAAACGAAAAACAGATAGCAGGAGATAGCATCTCTCAAGTGATCATATGTGAAAAGGCTAGGAAGTTGCATGACGATTTAATTAGAAAAATGCCAGCAACTAGTGGTGATGTGAGTGAATTTAAGGCCAGCAAAGGTTGGTTTGAGAGATTTAAGAATCATAGTGCCAGTTTGGACCAAAAAGCAGCTGAAAAATATGTGCAGGAATTCAAGGAGTACATAGACAGTGAAGGACTGAAACCTGAACAAGTGTTTAATGGTGACACTGACAATGTTGTGAAATACGTTAGGAATGTCATAAAGGAACGGGCGGTACAGGCCTCTATGGGGAGATATGTTGTGCGACAGAGGTCCAGTGACTCTCAAGCTGGTCCTAGTGGCATTAAAAGAAGAGAAGTAACCCCGAAAAAGGACTTGCCACCTCAAGTCCTAATGGAAGGGGATTCCCCTTCTAAACACTAAGACCATCAACACACACCCCTCTTCCCATCCCATCAATCATCACCAGATCTTCAATAAAGGTAAGTGTCATGTAACTGTGCATGTCTTCTTCAGTTTGTGTGTATTAAAATTAATATTTCATGTGTTAAAAAATTTTTTTTTTCAATACTTTTGGGTGTCTTGCACGGATTAATTTGATTTCCATTATTTCTTATGGGGAAAATTAACTTGACTAACGATTATTTTGACTAATGATGAGCTCTCAGGAATGGATTAATAGCGTTAGTCGAGGGTCCACTGTATATAAGAAAGGTATACATTTGTTTAAAAAATGATTTGTTGAAACAGTACACAAGATGGAAACATTAGAACATTTAACCCTTTCAGGGTCCAGAGGCCAAATTTCAAAGTGCACACCAGGGTCCAAGAATTTTCAAACAAAAAAAATTTGCTATTTTTTCTTATGAAATGGTAGAGAATCTTTTTCTGAAGGTAATAAAACAAAAAATATGAAATTATGCTCTCGCGAATTTTGATGTGTCAGCGATATTTATGAATCGGCGATTTTGCCGACTTTGATTCCCATTTTAGGCCAATTACATTATTCCAGTCGACCAAATTCTTAGCTATTTCACTAGTATTATTTCTATTCTATCGATTGAGCACAAGAAATCTCCAAGTCAACTGTTTCAACTACAAAATAAAATGATCGGAAATTGGTAATTTGGCCAATTTAACACAAAGTTCAAAATATTCCAATTTCAAAATAGGGTCCAGAATAAACAATGTAGGTATTCCTGGCACTAAACTAACATTTCCTCTGTTCATTAGTTATGTTTTGAGGCTTTACAAATGAATTCCATTTTGATTTTTTATTCACATAATGAATTTTTATTCAAACCAAAAAATAGAAGATTTACTGTCAATGCAATATTGTAATAATTGTATAAATATCATCACCACATTTGTGAATGTATATTAGACCCACCAGCTGCTACTTTGAGCTCAGTTTCAAGCCATTTCCAGTGCTAAAACCAATCAAAATCATCTCTATTTCTGTAATATGTCTTCCATTCTACCAAATGAGACTAAGAAATCGCAAATACAACCATAAAAAACATACAAAAAACACTGCAAAGTCACTGTTTTAATCGAAAATCATGGTCTCAGATTTTTTCTCTCATTATACACTGTGTGCTACAGGATTTGTTTTATGTGGTGCACACATACCACATAGATGTATTCTCTCATATCTAGGCCCAAATTTACCACTCACAGCTTATCAGAGTGAGCTGAGCTCATGGCATAGATCTACGGTTTGGACCCTGAACGTAAAGCCGTAGATCCACGGCACGGACCCTGAAAGGATTAATTGAAAATGTTTTGCTCTCAGGACCTTGTTCCTCCATTTGTAGTGACCAAGGAGGCCCTGACCTAGTCCCTCAGCCTAGTAGCAGGTGTTGAGCACAGTAGTCCTGATGAATCTGATTCATCAAGACAACAGTGCTTAACACCTGGTCTTAGGCTGACAAACTGATTATTTCATCTTCTACTGTCTTCTGTACATAATTCTGTGAGACTGAGAGACTGATTACCTCCTCTTCTACAGTCTTCCATTTATATTCCTGTATTGCATTGATAAAACCATTGATTGGCAAAACATCTACAAAATAAAGATGCCCGAATGTTGTACACATGCATAATTCTTCAACTAATTTATATTGTATACCATTAATATATTACTGTGTGGAATGTGTAGATGTTGTTTTCTGCATCTGTAAGTTGGGCTCTGAACCCAAAAACAAAATATAGTAACTTTGAGCTTCATTGCTCCAGTCTCCCCCATGCTTACATTAATGGCTCATATCATACAGCAACACTTTTTGTAGATGTTGTGTTTGTTTCTACTGTACTGCACTTCATATTATGAAATAAAGATTATTGATTGATTGATATATCATACTGTATCATACAGCAGCAACATGTATCATTCTTCTGCAGTCTATAAACAAATTGGCAGATTTTTTTGAGATATCATATCTGATAGGGTTTATATCAGGAGTGGGAAATTATCAAACACTGAAATTGTTTTTAAAATTGAAATATTAAAAATTTAATTTCTTAGTGATTCTCTTATTAGTATATGCAGTATGTTAAAAGAAGGCAAAGCTATTGCTGTAGATTAATAATTTTTTATTTTGATAAATTTTTGTGTTAAGAATAATATTTATCTTCAGGCTGCCCAAAGCAAGTGGGAGCGGGATCCTCTTCAGTATGCATGTAAAGCCTATTGCTCAGCTAGACAAGAGGTGAATATCCTTTTGGCTCTGCGTCACCCACACATTGTGCCACTCGTTGGTGTTTGCCCACGTCCACTTGCTTTAGTCCTAGAGTTAGCACCTCAAGGAGCTTTGGATCAGTGCCTGAAACATTACCAGCGTTCAGGTGGTAGACTTTCCCTCCATACACTTCAGGCTGTAATCCTACAGGTATATTATCTTGTTTGTCTTTATTTTGGCACCTGATGTGATCGAGAAATATTAACATGGAATATCTATGAACTGTTGATATAATTTATATAAATTAGTGTAATAACTGAAGTTTTGGATATTAAAAAGGTATGAAATACCGACAGGTTGTTAGGTAAGACACATATGCAACAGTTAGGTATCTTTATTCTGAAACATTTCGCCTACACAGTAGGCTTCTTCAATCAAATACAGAAAAGTTAATAGAAGAGATGTGAAGACGATGTAATCAGTCCATCACCCTTGAGGGACTGACCACCTCAAAACTTCAAGGGTGATTGACTGATTACATCGTCTTCACGTCTCTTCTATTAACTTTTCTGTACTCGACTGAAGAAGCTTACTGTGTAGGCGAAATGTTTCGGAATAAAGATACCTAACTGTTGCATATGTGTATTACGTAACAACTGAAGTTTTTTTATTTTTTTTTCAGTAATGTATAGCAAGTTTGTTACTCTGAAACTAAATTTTGATTTACAGGTTGCCAAGGCTCTAGAGTACCTCCACGGTCAGCACATCATCTACCGGGACCTGAAGAGTGAGAATGTGCTGGTGTGGGAATTGCCACCACCATTCCACCATCAAACACATCCAAAAATAGATGTCCGATTAGCAGACTATGGTAATTTTCTATCAACTAATGTGGCATAAGATTAATGAAATTATATTTAAAACTTTCATTTCTTCTTTTTCAGTTCACCCTGCCTCAGTGGGAGACTGTCGGTGTTTAAAAAAAAAAAAATATTCATGTTTGTAAACAAGACAAGATGTATAAATGTCAACTACTTAGGACAAGCATTGAAACAAATTTGAGTGATTATTATCTGACTATTTTTTCCTGAGTACTATGTGAGAATTTCCTTTATAAGAATAATAGCTACTGAAAACCATTAATAGCAGCAGATGGGAAATTCACACATTTTCCAAACATTTTCCTCTATTCCTGTCAGGGTTCCCTTTTTTTTATTTGATTAATTGTGTATAGTCTTCGTATACAGGTCTCCCTCAACATTCACGTTTTCAGCTTTCGCGGGCTTCACACATTCGCGAATTCCCAACCGCCAAATTTCCAGCCACCAAATTCCCAGCCACCAAATCATATTCAAGTTTCCCGCCACCTGCGAGTCCCTACTACCCTCCCTCCGACCCCTGCAACTGGCAGCCAGCCCTCCCACCACTCAGTGTGGTGTGTGTTTTGTTTGTTCATTATTTGCTATTAAACTACAGTATAAATAATGTAAACACATTCATGACTGCATATTGGAATGGCTATTTGAACAGGTATTGGACGGTGACATCATGTGTTTACTCTTGAACACAGAAAAGAATCAAACATTTCTGCTACTCCTAATAATAACAATAGTAATAATAATAATAATAATAATACGATATAATTGAAGAAGGAAATTGTACAAAAATACGAGGGAGTGGTTGACACATCGTCAGTGTGGCTTTGTTTATGCTGGAGTGAACATTAGTCTCCCTGCTCTTCCAAACATTTCACAATAATTCATTGTTTAGTGCTTGTAGATTGAGTGTGACTGGAGTGGTTGAGGCAGTGGTAGAGGCAGTGGTAGAGGCAGTGATATTTACTAACATATATGTTATAAATAATAATAGTACATTATGAATAACATTTATTATTATTATTATAAATGTTATTAATATTAACATGTACTATTATTATTTATAACATACGTATATGTTAGTAAATACCACTGCCTCTATCACCTCTACCACTGCCTCAACCACTCCAATCACACTCAATCTACAAGCACCAAACAATGAATTATTGTGAAATGTTTGGAAGAGCAGGGAGACTAATGTTCACTCCAGCATAAACAAAGCCACCCTGACGATGTGTCAACCACTCCCTCGTATTTTTGTACAATTTCCTTCTTCAATTATATCGTATTATTATTATTATTATTATTATTATTATTATTATTATTATTATTATTATTATTATTATTATTATTATTATTATTATTATTATTATTATTATTATTGTTATTATTATTATTATTACTATTGTTATTATTAGCAGTAGCAGAAATGTTTGATTCTTTTCTGTGTTCAAGAGTAAACACATGATGTCACCGTCCAATACCTGTTCAAATAGCCATTCCAATATGCAGTCATGAATGTGTTTACATTATTTATACTGTAGTTTAATAGCAAATAATGAACAAACAAAACACTCACTACACTGAGTGGTGGGAGGGCTGGCTGCCAGTTGCGGGGGTCAGAGGGAGGGTAGTAGGGACTCGCATTGGTTGAGGAAGTGGTGGAGGCAGTGGTGGAGTCTGTGGTATTTAATAACATACATGTTATTAAAGCATAACATGTATATATTTAGTACAACTTACGACGTTTTCATGTATTTTATGATTGTTCATGGTTCAACAAGTTAAGCAGTATTGTATTATATTTCCCTACAATATATTGGGGCACCAAACATTCACGGTTTTTCAACATTCGCGAGGCTCTTGATCCCCTAACCCTCGCGAATGTTGAGGGACACCTGTACAGTCTTTCTAGCTTTTTAGTTAATTTGCTTTTAATTACATTAGAAATTATTAAAAGTAAAACCTTGATTTAGAAGACCCTGATTTAATGGTTAAAAATCTATGGCCAAACAACATTCAGAAGCAACAGACAAAGTCTGTTTAATCCAGAATTGTTTGTTATTCTTACAGTCTGCTGGGTAAATTCATTTTGGATTTAACAGACGTTGCTAAATCAGAATTGTTTTGTATTTTTATGAACAATTTCAGATATAATGCAGAAAGTTTGGTAAATCCAGAATTATCCATTATTGTTGAAGTCCACTGAGTAAATTTATTTTTGGATTTGACAGACTTAATCTGTTACTCCAAAACTTACCTATTACAATCTTGGAATATTATTCTCGTCGTTCGGATTTAACAGACATTTGACTTTAGCGGATACCATCACCACCTCCTCCATCTCCTCCACCTCCTCCTCCTCCTCCTCCTCCTCCTCCTCTCCTCCTCCTCCTCCTCCTCCTCCTCCTCCTCCTCCTCCTCTTCCTCTTCTTCCTCTTCTTCCTCTTCTTCCTCTTCTTCCTCTTCTTCCTCTTCTTCCTCTTCTTCCTCTTCTTCCTCTTCTTCCTCCTCCTCTTCCTCTTCTTCCTCTTCCTCTTCCTCCATTAGTCTATTAAATTGTGTTCACTGCGGTTATAAATTAAGAAGAAAGACATTGCACTAAAATACAAACTGTAGCAGTAGTATTTTATTAAACATTCTAGGACAATAAAAATTTGCTTGAAATTTTAAGTAATTGTAAGCAGCTTTCCTAGATTATTCTAAGTAGTCTCTTAAGTGACAGTTTATAACTTGACAGTGTAAAGATATTTAATTTTCCTTGGCATAATAAATGTAAATTTATATTGAAGTATTGGTTGTAAGAACAGAGCCAATAAACTCTGTGCCAAACCCATAATGGGCTTCATCTTTGCTCCTAATTAAAAAAAAGTAAAATGCAGGTTTGAACATGGACTTGCTCTTCACTGAAGTGCACATTGTTTAGGCACACTTTTTTAAGAATTACTTTGAATTTAATGGATATTATGTCACTTTTGATTGATTGCTTCTGGGAAGCTGTTTTATATTTTGAGTATATTGACAATAAATTTTTGCATAGGGTTGCTGAAAATCCACCAACTACTTTTCTGTATGTTTATTTCTAACTTAAATTTGCAATTGAACTTGAATCAATACAGATGCTCGGTATTTACTACTTATGTTGTGCCTATTGCTTTTCTGCCACTTTCAAGGAATAATGTAGTCTTAACTCAAGTTGAAATTATGTACAGTAGGGCCCTGCTTTATGGGATTCCGCTAATACGGCGATTTCAAATTATGACCAGAATTTGCTATACGGCAAGTGGTCTTTCAAACACAGCACGCTCCCACCCGGTTTGTTTACATTCTCCGTGAGCACATCTATTATGTCTGGAAACTTTCCAAAACTTCAAGTGTTTTAAAGTTATTGCATATTTTATATGTACTCTGATAATTATGCGTATGTGTACCTGTATCTAAATATACTTACTGTACTGCCATAGAGGTACAAATTAAAATTACTAAGTCTCTCTACTCATGACGCCATAGTAATACTACGTAATAATCTCTCTTGGGCACATTAAATGTCTTATTATACGTTAATATAGACATTTTCATTAATCCATCTATGCTATTTTCTTCAAAATTACATAAGAAATGCATTACATAGCATATAAACATTATACATACACCCACAGAATAAAAATTGACAAATATGAGATTTGTTTACAAAGCGGCTTTGTAGGAGTGTCGGAAGAATTGCGTTTACTCTAGTCAAACACTGGGGAATAACTGTAGATAAATATTCCTTTCATTCCTTTCATTCCTTTTATTGGCAGAAAGGAGGGATATGTTGTGTATCTTTATACGTATATGCTTCTAAACTGTTGTATTCTAAGCACCTCTGCAAAGACAGTGATAATGTGTGAGTGTGGTGAAAGTGTTGAATGATGATGAAAGCATTTTCTGTGAACTTCCTTATTGAGGCCTCATCATGGAGTCTAAATGAAACTTTGTTGTATTCAAGTGGTGGTTTACTAATGTTTGTCAAGAGGAAGGTAGGGTAGTGGTCTGTAGTGCTATCTGTGATTATCCCTGATTTAAGGGGGGCTAGTATATTGGTCCATATGTGGTCTATTATGGTTGCACTCGTTTCAGTGAGCCTGGTTGGTTTAGTTATTGTTGGTATGAGAAGTGTGTTGTTCATATTGTTGATGAAATCAGTTACAGGCTGATCATCTAGTAGGCCAAGGTTGATGTTGAAGTCTCCAGCTAAGAGAAGGTGGTGCTTATTCATTTGTCTGTTTGTTATTAGTGCCTTTAGTTTCTCACTGAAATTTGGGATGTTTGTGTGGGGTATCCGGTAAATGGCACCGATTGTTATAGGCGTCTTAAGGTTTTTTACAGTAAAATTAGCAAAACTGTATTCTCCATATTCATCACTAAAGCAAGTGGTGCTAATACAAGATAATTGGTTAGAGTAATAGATTGCAATACCACCCCCAACTTGGTATGGTCTGCAGTTGTGGATTGCTGTGTATCCTGGTAGAGGGTAGATATCTATTATGTCCTGCTTAAGCCAGGTCTCAGTAAGAATAATGCAGGAGAAGGGTGTCTTTAGTGATTCAAGGAGTGCCAGGAGGTCATCATAGTGTTTGCTTAAGGACCTGATGTTGTAGTTAAGTACTGATAGACTTTTAGCATTGTTTAGGATAGTGCTGGCTTGTGATGCTGTGTAGTAAAGGCAGTTACTTTCCAATAGGTTTTGATTGTGTGTCAGATTATGGAGGTTTAGATCAGGGTCAACGTGATCAATCATCTTCTAGGTTTAAATTATGGTTATTTATATCCTGAGTTGTGGGTTGAGTTTTAGTACTGATATCTGTAGTGGTGGGAAGTTTGGACAAGTATATAGCTATAGCATTTTGGTCATGTAGAGTATAGTCACTAATACACATAATGGAGTTGGTGTTGTCTATGTGTTGTGCTGGAATGAGCTAAAGTACAACTAGGTATAAACTAATAATATAAAAAT